TGTTATATTGCAGCCATTTGCTAAAATCATTTAAGTTATTTTTTTTTCCTCATTAATGTACACACAGCACCCCATATTGACAGAAAAACACAGAATTGTTGACATTTTTGCAGATTTATTAAAAAAGAAAAACTGAAATATCAGATGGTCCTAAGTATTCAGACCCTTTTGATCTAATACAGCCATGAGTTTTTTTGGGAAAGATGCAACAAGTTTTTCACACCTTGCATTCCTCCTTGCAGATCCTCTCCAGTTCTGTCAGGTTGGATGGTAAACGTTGGTGGACAGCCATTTTTAGGTCTCTCCAGAGATGCTCAATTGGGTTTAAGTCAGGGCTCTGGCTGGGCCATTCAAGAACAGTCACAGAGTTGTTGTGAAGCCACTCCTTCGTTATTTTAGCTGTGTGCTTATGGTCATTGTCTTGTTGGAAGGTAAACCTTTGGCCCAGTCTGAGGTCCTGAGCACTTTGGAGAAGGTTTTCGTCCAGGATATCCCTGTGCTTGGCCGCATTCATCTTTCCCTCGATTGTAACCAGTCGTCCTGTCCCTGCAGCTGAAAAACACCCCCACAGCATGATGCTGCCACCACCGTGCTTCACTGTTGGGACTGTATTGGACAGGTGATGAGCAGTGCCTGGTTTTCTCCACCCATACCTCTTAGAATTAAGGCTAAAAAGTTCTATCTTGGCCTCATCCGACCAGAGAATCTTATTTCTCACCCTCTTGGAGTCCTTCAGGTGTTTTTTTAGCAAACTCCATGCGGGCTTTCATGTGTATTGCACTCAGGAGCGGCTTCCGTCGGGCCCCTCTGCCATAAAGCCCCGACTGGTGGAGGGCTGCAGTGATGGTTGACTTTCTACAACTTTCTCCCATCTCCCGACTGGATCTCTGGAGCTCAGCCACAGTGATCTTTGGGTTCTTCTTTACCTCTCTCACCAAGGCTCTTCTCCCCCGATAGCTCAGTTTGGCTGGACGGCCAGCTCTAGGAAGGGTTCTGGTCGTCCCAAATGTCTTCCATTTAAGGATTATGGAGGCCACTGTGCTCTTAGGAACCTTAAGTGCAGCAGAATTTTTTTTGTAACCTTGGCCAGATCTGTGCCTTGCCACAATTCTGTTTCTGAGCTCTTCAGGCAGTTCCTTTTGACCTCATGATTCTCATTTGCTCTGACATGCACTGTGAGCTGTAAAGTCTTATATAGACAGGTGTGTGGCTTTCCTAATCAAGTCCAATCAGTATAATCAAACACAGCTGGACTCAAATGAAGGTGTAGAACCATCTCAAGGATGATCAGAAGAAATGGACAGCACCTGAGTTAAATATATGAGTGTCACAGCAAAGGGTCTGAATACTTAGGACCATGTGATATTTCAGTTTTTCTTTTTTAATAAATCTGCAAAAATGTCAACAATTCTGTGTTTTTCTGTCAATATGGTGTGCTGTGTGTACATTAATGAGGAAAAAAAATTAACTTAAATGATTTTAGCAAATGGCTGCAATATAACAAAGAGTGAAAAATTTAAGGGGGTCTGAATACTTTCCGTACCCACTGTATATAAATGTTAAAGGTCACACTTCAGTTTGAGGACCAATATGACTTTTGTCTCAATAGACTCCTAATAATTAACTGCTTAAATAATAATAATACACTAATAAACTGCTTATTAATAGTTAGTAAGGTAGTAGTAAAGTTTAGGTATGGGGTAGGATTAAGGGATCGAAAATATAGTCATGCAAAGTAAGGCATGTACTAATAAACTCCCAATATGCTAGTAATATGCATGCTAATAAACCTAGTTAATTGTGAGAATTAGTCCCTAAACTAAAGTGTTACCATTTTAAAATATTAAATGTGATAAAAAAATTATATACACTATCATAATACTATACACTGAACAACAGTTTAAAGGTTTGGGGTCAGTAAGATTTTTTTTAAAGAAATTAATACTTTTATTTAGCAGGGACACATTAAACTGGTCAAAGAAATGTAAAAAATTCTATAGCGTTACAAATTATTTCTATTTAAACTAAATGCTGTTCTTTTGATCTTTCTATTTATCTAAGAATAAATAGAATGTATCATGGTTTCCAAAAAAATATGAAGTGACAACCGTGTCGGATGAGAGAGGACCAGGCCTGGATTTTATTTTGTGTTTTGGTTTTGTTTGTGCGCGACAGTCATCCGCGAGGAGCTGTCGTACTGTTTTGAGTTTATTTTATTATTAAAGTTTGTTTAAATGTTCGCCGGTTCCTGCCTCCTTCTTCCCGACCTACAAACGTTGTTACAGTTACATTTTAAAATATATTAAAATAGAAAACCGTTATTTTAAATTGTAATAATATTTCACAATAATACATTTTTATTGTATTTTTGATCAAATAAATGCAGCCTTGATAAGCACAAGATACTTTTTTCAAACAATATCAAAACAATCTCACCAACCACACTTTTGAACAGCATGTATAAAAAAATAATAAAAAATATGTATTAAATTATTACATTTATTAAAATGATTTATTATTTTGGAAATGGCCGAATTAGAGTTAGAAAAACATAAATACTTATTTCAGTATTTATGCCTATTTATTTCCTGGCTTTTTGTTTTTAAAAGTCAGTCTTAACGCCTTAAAGATCTGTGCCCCTACGCTATTGCTGGAAAATTAAGATGCATCAAGAATCATTTATGTAATCACACCGCGACTCCCTGAAACTACATCAAATCAAATCACGAGGTGTCTAAAGATTTCCAGCACTACTGATTAGGTTAGTTATCTATCATAGAGCTCCCACCAGAGATTGAGTTTCAATCAGAGGGTTGTTGATTTGTTGCCGCATTGCATCCTGGGAAATCTGTGTGTTTTGGTCCGCGAAGATCAGTTGCCGTTTGCGACCCCATCTCTTTGGAGGGACAGATTGCTCCACTAGAAGTGTCTGAGAAAGAGGGACAAAACAATAGAAAGAATGAAAGAGCGAGAGGTTATTAAGACACTGAGCACACTGTTGTGGATTCAGGCCAATGTAACTGCCTTTGCTACAAAGGCGTTCATGCTTCAAAAGACATATGGATTATATAACACGAGCATAGTGGGCAAGGTAATGTGGACATGGCTACACACACAAACCTCACTGGAGCGCTCCATTGCCACATCTCTCTCACTGGCTTCTGTGGTTGGTGGCATGGTGATGGGGGGAGGGGTCATCTCCATAGCGACCCTATCTAAGGTGACCTCCGTAAGATGTCCATTCCCCTCATCCACGATGCACTCGCTGTTTTTCAGCCTGCAAACATGCATTCAGTGATGGTTTATAACAGCAATAACCTGGTCAGCACAAGTGGCCAGTTCAGGCAAACATTATGGGCTCCATTAAACTGAACAGTCAAGCAGATTCTTTATTTCAGATATGTTTAAGTCAAGGACATTTGGCCCAACATCAATCTAAACTAGGGTGACCATATTTCAGTTTTTCAAAAAAGTTTTTTTGTTTGTTTGTTTGCTTATTTTGTTTTTATAATAAATAAAAAGAAAACAAGTAGAAAGAATAGGGAATTCTAGTGTTTAGAGGGTAATTTTTAAATAAAAATAAACAAGTCAATAGAACAGAAAAATAATACATAATGCTAGTGTTAGAAGGTCATTATTTATAATAAACAAAAAGAAAATAAGTAAAGAATAGAGAAAGAATAGAGAATGCTAGTGTTAGAGGCTCTTCTTTCTTTATAAATAAAACAAGTAGTTAGAATAGAAATAGAATAGAGAGTGCAAATGTTAGAGGGTCAAGTTTTTAAATAAAAAAAAACAAAACAAGGAGATAAAATTAGAGGTAGCATTAGAATAGAGAGTGCTAGATTTAGAGGGTCAAATGAAGATGAAAGAGATATGTTTTCAGCCGTTTCTTGAAAATATTAAGGACTGCTTGGATTGAGTTGGGCAGGTCATTCCACCAGGAGGGAACAGTTAATGTAGAAGTCCATGAAGGTTTTGTCATAGGTAGAATGCAAAATGTTTCAATCAAATGTAATTTATGCAATATTTCAAACCTTTAACCCACTTTGGAAAATCAACCCATGGCAACAGTTTAAAAGTAGCCCAATTCTGTGGAAACAACGCGGACTTGGCAACCCTGCATCCAACAAGAGCTACCGGAGTCAGATTTGACTGACCTCAGGTCGAGAATAAGGAGAGATTACTGACAAGACCATGCTGAAGTATTTGCTGCTCAACAGATCCTGAACTCGTGACAAATATCTGATCTTGTAAGATGTGCTCCCTTTACACAGAGTGCGTGTGATCGCGAAATCGAAACTGAAAGTGAACAGCGCGAACGCTCATTCAAAAGAGATTTAAATACTCCGCATACTGAGAGCGGCTCCCTGACACTCCAAAATTATACAGAATATTAGAATGATTAAAGGAGTGGACACGAAAATCGAGGGAGCTAAACACATGTTGCAGGAGCAGGCAGCAATGATCAGAGATTCAGCGGGAGCGAGATCAAGAAAACAGCCGAATCCCGGACATTTTGGGCGATTAAGAAATCCCGGCTGGACGCATTTTTGTAGGTTCAAAAAGAGGACATGTCCGGGGAAAAGAGGACGTATGGTCACCCTAATCTAAACTGGTGTTTTGATGGGTCTCAACAAAACCAAGAGTCTGCCTGACCAAAAAAACACACAAAAAAACATGAAAAATCCATTAAAAAACATGAAAATATATTTTTTTCATGAAGCACAAAAACCACCACATTGACATGTGGTTTAAAATCTGATCAAATTGTTATTTATTTAATTTTTGTAAACTTCATTAATGCTTTCAAGTTTATGTTGCACTCCATGAGTTTAGCACTGCAGCAAGATGCCATGATAGGTATTGTCACGAATTCGGTCCATGGACTTCCGTTCATTCACCACCAGAGGTCACCCTTTTCTTTACATTGACTCTCGCACAACACAAACTGTTGCAAAGCACCCCGGACTACATATCCCATCATTCATTGCACGGTTTGCACACTGCACTGATTGCACTCATTGCACACAGCTGTTTCTTATCACCTCACTCACTATATAACACCCACTCAAACTGCCATTCTCTGCTGAGTATTGTTTAGCCTGTACCCCTTTCCCAGTCTCCGTGGTTTCCTTGTTTTGCCTTGCCTTGCCTTTTTTTGCGGTTTCTGATCTTTGCCTGTTTTTCCTGGATTTTTCCCTCTCGTCTCGCCCCTGTGATTCTGTCTGCCGATCGGTGACCTACGCTAGCCCTAGGACTATTCTTGTGTTTTTGCCCGCCATATACCTGTTTGCCATTGTTCGACCCTGCCTGTTATACCACGTCTCTTTAATAAAAGCTTGCAGATGGATCCACACGTCTCATGTCTCGTCAGCCCCGTTACAGGCATGAAGAAACACATAATTTCCACAATGGCACTCTCAGTTGTTGTAAAAACCATTGACATTGTGCTGAAGCCTGAAGTCATTAAGTAGATATACCAGTTATTGACTACATCGTCTGAATGAGCAGGTCTTGCGAAATTACAGTACAGACAGTCAGTCAAAGAATTTGACAAACAAATCCGAATTGGGTGCAGTTTGACTAACCAAATTTGGATCTTGTACTTATCCTTCTCATCTCTATTTCCCTCAGTGTTACTCACTGTTCTATAGAGACCATAGCAGGATCTAGATCTCCTGATTTCTCCGCTTCTGTCGCCCTCTCTCTCTCCTTATCTTCCTCATCTAAGAGAACATACAGAAAAACATCTGACTTATTGACTCGTGTCTTTAGAAAACGCTATTTGTAGCAGGCAGTTGCAGTTTAAGTGTTCTAAGTGACCAGGTTACGAATGAGCGTGGGCAGTATATTTTTGGCATTTTCTGTGCTGGGTTTTATGGGATATCTGCAAAAAATTCAAATACACAATCTTTCAAAAGTTTTGGGGTCAAAAAACGTGTCACAGTTTCCACAAAAATATTAAGCAGCACAACCATTTCCAACATTGATAATAATAATAAAAAAAATATATATTCATCAAATTAGCCAAAATATTCAATAAACAAACACACAAGGTGCGGGGGATGTGTTAGTTCATTCCAATTCGGTGGGAAAATTCTGTGTGTGCCTGTGAATGGCTAATAATGACACATTAGCTCTCTTAATTGAGATCAATATTTATTTAAGTGTCTATCTATCAGTCCATCTATTCATCTATCGATATTACCACCAAGATGGAACTGATCTTGCTGTTCCATGAGCATGTCGATCTCCTGAGCCGTGGCTTCAGGTAACTCTGCACCACCAAACTAGAATATAATCAGGAACATGAGATTAAGAAACAGCATATGAAATGTGTGGTACAATAAACACAGATTAAAAGGAATGGATGATATCATCTAGTGTTATCCATGACTAAGCTTCATGTGGGTAGCTGATCTGTTTTAATCTAAAACTTCACAAAGAACTGTATGAATTTTGTGGGGGCAAATGGTACAAAAGTGGCATCATGTGTTTGGTGTGAGCAAAGGCTGCGGACACAGACTCAAATATAAATCTCTGTCCGTATTCTATTGCCAGTATGGAGGAGTGAGATGCATGTAGAGTGAAAATCACCTCCGCTGCTAGCACAGGCACCAGCGCTGCGTCTTTGATAGTGATAGATTCAGAAGAAGCAATGAGGCCTTGAAAGGGAAAGACAGGGATAGATTGGGTGAAAACCATAAAGATTAACTCTTTGACCCACATCAGCTGCAATATTTCAAAATCTCACCTTTAGGTGATGCAATTTCCTTTCTAGCCACCAGAGGAGATGCGCCCTCTATAAAGTGCTGTGATGATAAACAATAAATTCATGGCTGAATGACTCAAAAAGGGTCAAGATTAATGTGATGTGCTAGATAAATTCACTATTATGAACTCTAAAGTCTGAGGTTTTTATTGGTTGCTATGCAGATGCTAGTGGATCCAAGTCTCTAAGATATTCTGGTCTCTAGATATGATTCCAATTAATAATTCATGCAAACTGTATGTATATGCTGCAGTTCATCACCTGAGATGGCAAGTAAGGACTAGGCAGCTCACAGTCAACCCCCATCACTCCAAAAAATGGCTCCAGTGCCCATTCTGCCTCCTCCAGCTGGAACAGAGAGTCCGGGACATTCAGCACTATCCTAGGAGGAAACATAATCCCAGAACAAGCTTCTCAAGGGGAATCATAGCAACAGCAGTCATATAAACAGCTGTCATGGGTATATAAGAACAATATGAACGTCTGTGACATAATGAATTACATTAGTGACACAAAATGACAGTGACAACCCTGAATCAGACCTATCAGTGTCCGGCATGTCAATGTTCAAGTGTCTCTTTGCGCGAAGCAAACGCTCAATGGTCTGCTGGACCTCCTCTGTGGGGAAAACAGAAAATCTTTCAGTTTATTTCAGTATAATGAAAACACATTTGTGGACAATGTAATGGAATTCTATGACTGTATTAATTTGTTAGAAAAGGAAAAATCTTTCACTATATTCTCCAATTTTGTGGAGACAACAAATTCAAATAAAACAAGCTATTTTTGCTACAGTATCTTTAAGACTTTTATATCTAGATGACCTCTGCAATGACTAGGTAATGAGTATTGGCATATTTAACACTGCCATTTATCAGGTTGGGACATTTTACTGAATATTAAACATGCATTTATATGTAAATCATATGTTAATGCACTTATTTTGATATCATAACCATTATGATTTTTGATAAATGGTTTGAGTGGACTGGAGTTGGAATTTGTCTACATAGTGGAAAATATTGTAGTCCAAACATCATTTTAAGGTCATTTGATTTTAAAATTAATTCTGTTCAATTTTGTCCTGCTCATAAATTAAACACCACTATAGATTAAGCTGTTTGTTCAGCTTGTCTACTTTAAGACGCTACCGTATTAAAGCAAATGCATCTGTTTGTGCATCTTTACATGCGTCATCATTTCTGTCTCGTATTTTCAGAGATCTCCATGTCATTTTGATGAATGCTTTCAATCTCTGCTTACTTGAATTGTTCCTTGATTAACGGTTGCTTATCGGTTCTATGCTAATCTCTAAATGCACTCAATACATGACAATGTATTTTATAGTTAGACTACAGAGAGAAGATTTCACAACAGCATTAATTTGTTCCCGAGTGCAAACATTGTTGGCAGCTATCTTGAATTTTAATAACCAAAGAATTTTAATAATTGTTTATTCTGCTGGGAAACAACGGTTTCTTAGATACAGGCAGCTCATCAATACAAGATAATGGTGTGTGCTATTGACCATATGTGCTTCCCTCATATGGTCACGTAAAGAGATATACTCATTAGGACCAGCTGAGAACATTGACCAGAGCAAGTGTTACATCAAACACTATTAGGCTACGTTGACACTGCGAGCCTTAGTGCTCAATTCTGATTTTTGCTCAGATCCAATTTTTTTGTATAGCTGTTCACATTGTTGTTTTAAATGTGGCCAATATCAGATTTCCAGTGTGAACAGATCATGGTTCTGAACTGACCTGCATGTACAAAAGAACAATACGAACAGGGTTGCCCGGTTTTCGCAACATAATCCGGCCAATTGCTTCTCAAAACTAGCCAAATCGCGTTCTGGGGGTTATATAGCGTGTTAGTGGGATCGCTTTAACCCACGGAGTTGAAAAACAACCCGTGGCAACGATAAAAAAGTAGCCCAATGATGCGGGAAAACTGTGGATTTGGCAACACTTAAGCAGTGCGCTGTCATACGGACATAACACGGAGGACATAAAGTAAGCGATTTTGCGTTTATTTATAGTGTGATCTGCTGCAGAGGACAGCGAAATTATGCGCACACAATATGAAAAATAAAGACAAGGATGACAGAAGAGAGCAGAGTTTTGAATCGGAAATCGGAATTGAAAAGATCAGATTCCATGTGGTTTGTGCTATTCCCACTGTCTTGAGAAAAACAGATCTGAGGCACATGTGAGCAAAAAAAATCTGATTTGGGCCGCATTTGCCTCCAGTGTGAACGTATCCTTAGAGCATGTTTTGCATTGTTTCACTGATCCTGTATTGCACAACCCCAATGAAAATGAAGTGCACTTATTTGTATTTAATATGCACTTACAGTGTTCTTCAAATCATAAAAGTATATTCTGTTCTTGCATAGAATACAATATTAATAAAACAGAAGGCCACTTAAGTCTATGTGGAGTACACTTTTATGACTAAGTTTCTTAACATGTTTAAGTACACTTTAAAAACAAGCAGTTTGTAATAAAGTCAAATTGAAAGTTTTACAGGAAAACTTTGAATCATTATGTTTTAATCATATTTTGTCATGGTTTTTTAATAATATTTTGTCATGCTTTAAAGCTTAAAGAATGATAGTAACCAAACAGTTTTAGTTCCCACTGACTTCCACTGTATGGTCAAAAAATGTAATATATGGGATGAGAATTATAACTGTTTGGTGACCAACATTCTTCAAAATATCTTCTTTCGTGTTCCACTGAAGAAAGTCATACAGGTTTGGAACAACGTGAGGGTGAGTAAATGATAGAATTTTCATTTTTTTTAATGGTGAACTATGCTTTAAGTCCTACTTGAGTGGGTCAAAAAAAAGTTCAGATAATTGTATATAATATAAATTTAAACTGTGTTTTAATTTAATTTCAAATTACGTTTAATTAAGTGTCCAAAAACAATGCATTCATTTTGCACTTAAATATATTCTTTTAAAAATCATAGTATTTCCATAATAAGTACTCTTTTTAAAAATATGCTAAAGTGTACTTTATTTGCACGAGGGATAGCATATTTTTTGTGTATGTTGCTTTGATCAGATTTGACAGGACTGAAATAAGTCTTTAAATGGTGTTTTGTAGAAACGTTCATAAATGTTAAGCAAAGCAGTACTATCTACACTAGTCAACACCTCTACAGTCATTAGGAGAATCGAAAGTCATACAGGTTTGGAACAACGTGAGGGTGAGTAAATGATAGAATTTTCATTTTTTTTAATGGTGAACTATGCATTAAGTCCTACTTGAGTGGGTTAAAAAAAAAGTTCAGATAATTGTATATAATATAAATTTAAACTATGTTTTAATTTAATTTCAAATTACGTTTAATTAAGTGTCCAAAAACAATGCATTCATTTTGCACTTAAATATATTCTTTTAAAAATCATAGTATTTCCATAATAAGTACTCTTTTTAAAAATATGCTAAAGTGTACTTTATTTGCACGAGGGATAGCATATTTTTTGTGTATGTTGCTTTGATCAGATTTGACAGGACTGAAATAAGTCTTTAAATGGTGTTTTGTAGAAACGTTCATAAATGTTAAGCAAAGCAGTACTATCTACACTAGTCAACACCTCTACAGTCATTAGGAGAATCTCACCCAGCAGAAAAGCACACTGGCGATGGTAGACCATGACTACGCCGTACTGAAGCTGAGAGGACAGGTAAAGAGAGAAACGGGGCCGAGGAAGACTGGGATGGACTGGAGGAACCTGGACCATCACGTAATCCACAATGTCCTCACTAAACATACACACAAACACAACCTATTGATTAACATTTAAAAATTATGACAAAAAAAAAAATGGGGAAAAAAACACCTGAAATAAAGAGTACCACTCATTATCATCCACTTTGATATGGTGATATTTTGAATGAGAAACAAAGATTTCTCTAACCATGTTCGCCTGACATTGACCTTGAGATACTCTCTTCTGGAAATCTTGATGCCTTTAGTGGCTGCCAACCTGAAAACAAACAAACACACAACTTCAACAAACAAAACTTAAATCAATGTTTTGACATATTCCACTATTCTTGTATGTCCTGTTGACTCAAATAATCAAAATGTGTCTAAATGTAGGTTCAATATAACATGCAACTTACATATTCTATGGAGTTTATTTTAACTTTCCATATGTTATAGAGTTAAATTTGACTGTCTAGCTTATGGAGTTAGCCAGTTGTCTAAAAACTTTACCTCAGCGTGGTTATGTGAATAGGATCAAAAAAGCGATGCATACTTTTTTTTTAACAAACGGCCAGTATTTATTATTCAATTCATAATCATGTTTATAGTAAAGTACGTAACTTACCAGATAGTAGAGAAGCAGCCAGTGTGTCGCTGAAGCACGTTTGGATAATAAAACATTTTACCTCAGAGTTCGGTTTTACACAAATCTCAACTCAATCGATATCTAATTTAAAATCTAATCTGATAACCTTTGGTCACACTTTATTTATGCCAAAAACACGAGGAGATAATGTGAATTCCCTTAAATAAGCCCTAAATCAATACGGTGATCTTTTTCAATCAGTTGCTTCTGTGAGGAATGATTGACAGATGAAGGCTGCGTCCCAAAGCCTAGTGGGCTGCCTACGTAGACAGCATCTTGGCGCGTTTTGAGGCTCTAAATTGCTGTCTAGGAAGGCAGCTTTCTATGTTTTGACACACATTTGATGGTCAGAGGGACTGTAGATAATTTTAATATTTAGAAATGTTTTTCTGCATATAATGACATAAATGACTAAAATATGTATATAAAAAACCCATTTTAGATTTTACAAACGTAGGTTTTATGGTTTAAAGTGACACAATGACAGTTTATTTATTTGTGTGACAATACGAATGTCTAATAAATTATGCTTCCCTACAAACGCCATAACATTTATCACTTTGGCCTTGAATACCCTTGGTATTTGTGGGAAAAATACATTTGGCAAACACAAATATTTCATTTCAGAGCAGTTCACATTCTCCATTAGTCAGACTGTTGGCTCCGCCCATTTAGCGCAAACAGTCCGCGCTGGCATGAGACGAGCCAATCAAAACAGCGGAAAGTCCCCGGGAGAGTTCGTAGGGGGCGGTCCCGTGTGACGTCTGCTCATTTTTAATGATAAGAGGGGAGGTTCACAAGCCGCGCCTCTGCGTGAAGAATTTTTTAGAGTCAGATTTAGGCAAATTGGATTTCGCTGCTCGTAGAGCGCATTTGATCGTTCAGCGGGGCAAGCAGAGGACATGGCCTACCATAATCAGTATAGACCACCTCATTATAACAGCGCGCCGCCGGATCAGGGCTTTTTGTGGAATATATTTCAGAGGTGAGTGAAACACGACCACGGATTCCGCATTTGAACGCCTGTCGATTTGACAAGCGCAGCGGGAGAGAGCTTGATCTTGCAAGTCACGTACAAGTAGATACGAAATGCATTGGGGAACTTTAAGAGAGGATTGTATAGCTTGCAAAAGCAAATGTCTGTAATATTTTGTAGTTACTTCCGCCGTTTTTCGATTGCTTTTCAGCCGATAGCAGCCTCTTCTCGTCTGACTTTCATTATTACGCCATTCAAACCAGTTACTCGGATTCTGTTTCAACTGAGCATTTGAGATGAACTCGGATGTGCATTTGCGTAGTTTTGAACAGTTTCGAATGCCATACGATCTTATTTTTCACGCATATAAGTGAACAGAGAGTGAGTTGTTTTGGTTTAACTAAGAATGCATTGGGGAACTTTAAGAGAGGATTGTATAGCTTGCAAATGTCTGTAATATTTTGTAGTTACTTCCGCCGTTTTTCGATTGCTTTTCAGCCGATAGCAGCCTCTTCTCGTCTGACTTTCATTATTACGCCATTCAAACCAGTTACTCGGATTCTGTTTCAACTGAGCATTTGAGATGAACTCGGATGTGCATTTGCGTAGTTTTGAACAGTTTCGAATGCCATACGATCTTATTTTTCACGCATATAAGTGAACAGAGAGTGAGTTGTTTTGGTTTAACTAAGTTGCTCGTCTCATATATAGCAATAAATTATGTAATACTGCAGAGGATTGACTCTTAAGCAGTGTTGGGGGTAACGCATTACAAGTAACGCGAATTATGTAATCAGATTACTTTTTTTCAAGTAACTAGTAAAGTAACGCATTACTTTTTAATTTACAAGAGAATATCTGTGTTACTTTTTCAAATAAGTAACGCAAGTTCCTTTTTTCCCCAATTTATTGACTGACAGCTCTCCTGTCCCCATGTTGAGAGAAATCAGAAGATGTTACTGTAATTCTAAAATAATTATGAAAATGCATTAATTCATCTCACTCACAAAAAAACACACCCAGATTCAGTATTCCTCAAAATGAATAAAAATAATGCAACTCAGAATATGACGCGAACCTGCAATAATTAAATGTTAAACAGCACAAATATACTCTATGTATTTAATCCCATTCTATTAACCAATGTCTTTGCTTCTGACCTTCGATGATCCAGTTCAACCGTACTAATAAGCACAAATTACTGTAGACGAACATTTGTGTGTCTTTTTTTACTGCTGAAGTGTGTTGAAATTTCTTCTTCTGCATTCTACTGTAAATGCGTAAATTCACTTTCCCTTCAGCCTGAGGCTTATTCATTTCACTTTTGGTGTGAAAAGGCTTTTATATTTGCCAAAAATAGTACTTTTTTATTTTAAAAACAAACAAGCAAGCCCTGTCCAGATTGAAAAGTAACGCAAAAGTAACGTAACGCATTACTTTCCATAAAAAGTAACTAAGTAACGTAATTAGTTACTTTTTATTGGCGTAACGCATTACTTTTAAAAGTAACTTTCCCCAACACTGCTCTTAAGGGCCGTTCTTACAGGACGCTTTCTTCTTCCGTTCTAGTTGCGCTATTCATTTTTTTTATTGTTGTCTTATGTAACGTTACAAATACTAACATATCGGGCCGTCGCGTCGCTATGTTGTCAACGTCTCGCGCCACATGCGTTGCGTTTTTAAGATGCCTTGTCAAGTTAAAAGTAGTTCAACTTTCGTTTTGAACTCAAGAACTCGTATAAACGCCCCTTATGGCATTACACTGCCGTCAAAACGCAGAAACAGATGCAACTCCGTAACCTAGCAACATAATATTCTTAATATCAAAAGAAGGATTGTCACTTGGTCATGTGACTCGGGAATGTCTAAAGGTGTTAGTGAGTCACCAGTGTTGATCTGTACATTACATGTGAGTCATCTGTGAGTATGCTTATCACTTTAGAGTTTCCATGACAATACTGAACTGCAAGGTGAACTCTTGTCATATTATGGCTGGATTATAATTACTTTTAATGTATATGACCTACTTGGTACATAATTGGTTGCAAGGATTTTCAATCTTTTAGAAGCCACAGACCCGCAAATATGATATATGTAAAATTAAAGTATTATTTGGAAAATATTTTGTTTCTGTTACAATTCATTACATTTACGTTACAAATTAAATTTCTGTTCACTATAGTACTGTTGTATTATGTGTAATTAATTATGTTTTATTTATTACAATGTTTTATTTTAATCGCATATGTATTTTTCTCTAGTCTTTTTCTAGTATTCTCTTGCAGCATTCTGAGGGTCCCTAGACCCCAGTCTGAAACCTCATAAACTTATAGTGGTATATGATTGTCATTCTACCTGATCGTTGTGATATAATGGGGAACTGAGTGGAAAAAGCTCAATCTGAGAGCCTACAGTTACTGAAACACTGGGAAAACCAAAGCCAGTCACTCTAAACTCAGAGAAAGTGGGATAAATATAGACATAATTTTGTATGTTTTCCACTTTCCTTTTAGGAAAAAGTGACCCAGGTGTCCTGATCATATTTCAGCTAATAAATTAGTTCAAGTGATTCTCAAACCATGTCTTATCAGAAATCGCTACATAAAGAGTGAAGTTGACGGTTGTTTCAAAATTCCTTGTGTGAACAAGAGTCACGAGTTCAAATATTGCCTGGTTGTGCAGGGGCTTGTTAGATATACAAGCCAACAAGACATTCCTTTCACAGTTTACTGTGGTTATGGCCCAGACTAGACTCTCTTTCAAGGTTTTAGGTGTCCAAATTATTGAGGAGGCCTCTCTCTAGCCCGTCGCTTCTGTTTTTCTGGGAGTTTTTTCAGCAGCTGCCTAGAAATACAGTTGTTTTTTTGTTTTTTTTTGGTGTGCTATAAGGCATATTGCTTCGTGCTTATTTCATATGTAGCACAGGATTTGGTAAAACTTCTACCTTTCTACCATAATCTCTTTATTACAAAACAGACCAAATAACATTCCCTTAAATTCAGCTCAGAAGGCCTGTAACGGAAATGTCTCCTTTTTACACTCCCAACAGCAGAAATAGTCAATCCGCTCAGCGTGAGACAAACTTTCCCTCTTTTAAAGTCATTGCTGACATGCTTTGACTTAAATTAATCATAAAAATATCAGCATGGGGCCACGCCTTCACAACATAAATGAACCTATGAATGAATATGTGAGGATATAGAAGAACAAATCAACTGGCTTCCCAAGACACTTTTCTAAAATGTGCCATATGTAAACTCAAAGGAAAAGAAAACTGTTTAGATGGAAATGAATGGACCCTTTTCAGTATTACATTTGAAACATGAAGTCTCTGAATCTTTTCTCTGTCTGTGAAGTCTCTGAAAGCTTTGAAGCTTTTACTTTTAGTTTCATTTGACCAGACCCACATCCTGAAATTGTTTCCTATTTGTCTCATTACAGTTCTAGACACTGTTATTGTATTTAAGTCATTCACTATAAAACAAAAGTTTTTTACATGAATTACATTATTTTGGCTAGCAAATAATCAATCATTTTTCTGTTTCCTCTAGGGTAGATAAAGACAGGAGCGGGGCAATATCAGACACAGAGCTTCAGCAGGCATTATCAAATGGTATGTTTATTTTTTTCCATTAATTTTCAATTTTTCTTACTTTTTAGTCATCAATAAACATATTCCAACTGGAGTTGAAAGATAAATATTCACCAAAAGCCCTGAAGTATAAATATTGCGTGGGGTTTCCATTGATTAACTTTAGTTTTGGAATATCAGACTATTAATAAAAGGAACCAGGTTTCTTTGTAGCAGAAAAACATGTTTCTTGTACACAGTAAGTGTTTATCTGTAACAGTTGTCAAATGGTTTTGTCAACACCATTATTCTTGGCAATACGATTTAGCACAATTTACATGTGCCACGCTGATATTTTCATACGGAAAAAAATACTTTAATTTTGTTGCACTAAAAAGATCTTTCCTTTGTCTTTTTTTTTTTTTTATCAGTGATCACATTTTATATGATGATGATCTTTAAAGATTGTTCCCACACAAGGGAAGATGTTTACAGTATTGTTGCTAAATGAAAGATGCCCACATTGACTTTTGTTGCTAAATTTGCTTGTTCGTGGAAAAACCAAGCAATAATTAGCAATAATACCATTTTATATAGTTCTATAACTATTCGAGTTTTCAGAAAATTTCAGTGCATTTTCCATATATAGGGTAAAATATTATTTTTTATTAAAAAAATTGTTTTCAACAAATGATCAGTGAAAGAAATGATGTTGTTTGACCTCGAGGTCAAGCAAAATATAATGTGAGCTGATATTTGCTATTCATTAGCTAAAGGTTTGTTTGTGATTTTCAAATGTGATAATTTTTTTCAGTGTTCTTTTATTAATAGAAAGTTCAAAAGAACAGCATTTATTTGAAATAGGAACATTGTAAAGGCCAATTCAAACCAGAAGATGCAGACCAATGCTGACGGCCAGCCGATTACAGTCACTATTCCAAAACCCAAACAATGGTGATTCACTCCTCCTTTGATCAATTTAATGCATCCTTGCTGAAAATTATTGAATGATACATATACTGCAGACATACAGAGACATATTCAGCACATAAGTGTCGAGGTCATATGCCTGTGGCGATTGCTGTGTCCCTGGTGTGCATTCAGAGACTCAGAACAGAGCAATGGACTTGAGCAGTGCTGAAAGGCTTGACCTGAGCACTGAACCACAGGACGGCATTTATGTCTCCCCCATGATGCTATTTCTTAAGTCACAATTTTGAGGAATGTTAGGTTTTTTTGTAAAGTGAAAACATTTAAAATACTATTGCGTCTGTGGAAGAGCAGACTAAAATCACTGGTTTAAAGGGGTCATATGACGTTGCTAAAAAGAACATTATGTTGTGTATTTGGTGTAATGCAATGTGTTTATGCAGTTTAAGGTTCAACACATTATTTTCCACATACTGTACATTATTGTTGCTCCTCTATGACCCACCTTTCTGAAACGCGTCGATTTTTACAAAGCTCATCGGTCTGAAAAGCGAGGTGTACGCTGATTGGCCAGCTATCCAGTGCATTGTGATTGGCCGAATACCTCAAGCGTGTGATGGAAATGTTATGCCCCTTACCATACTGGGATGCCCTGTGTCCCGGCGCAACAAGACAAAAACAATAAAACCCATTACAAACGAGGCATTTGTTGCATCCAGTGGGGACATAATTACTGATTATAATGACTTATACTGTCTTTTTACGCGTTGCGTTGCGTAACGCGCTGTGTAAACATAAAACCATGTCTGCATTTGTAATCTGGGAAAAGACAAACAACAAGTGCTACTCTACACTGCTCAAAATTCGCATTTGAATCGTCAGTGGCAAATTCTTTAAATATATAAACGTACTTACAGGCTGTGAGTCAGAAGCGCCAGACTGTCCTTGCAAAGTTGGAACTGTCCCACTTCATAGAAACAGACACTGGCATTGTAGGCTACTCTCACAGGAAACAGTCCTCATCCTCCGCAAAATGCGCTGCACACATCTGAATATTTGGGTTGAACTGTTCTGGAACAGTGTTGTAAATACAACTTAACCACTGATTTGTAGTCGTGTCCTCTTTTGGAAGACCAAACAAAGTAGTTTCGCTTTCACAACGAAACACACGGCGGGCTAGATTGAGCGGAGGCCGGCGGATTCGACGAAGGAGCGGCCGGCGTGCTTGTGGCAACCATATGTGACGACCCCGGGCTGGACTCCACTTCGTCCACAGTGAAAGCCGATCCGGCGATCCACAGCGCGAAGTTGATGTATTTCCTCAGCGACCAGCATGGATAAGCTCTAGGCATGATGAAGCGGATATCATCATTTTTTGGAAGGCCAAATAAAGTAGTTTCGCTTTCACAAGGACACACACAGCAAAAACAATACTACAGTGAGAATAAAAGTTACGCCTTCTCTCTTTTGCGTGAACATTTGGACGGCGTTATGCAAATCTTCCCACATCGTGACGTAGACATGTGAGGGCGTGTTAGAATGAGCCGTTTTAGGCGTGGTTGACTCTTAACTTTTATAAAGAATATCTCTTTGGATTTGAGACTTTAGTCTTTGCAACTTTACAGATCTTCTTTATGCATGAAGAGCTTGTAACACTCCAAAAGAGAAAGGAAAAATTTAAATCACATCATATGACCCCTTTAAGGAAGGGTACAGACATTAGAAGTATTCAAAACTAGCTACTTATCATTCCAAGCTAAATTTGTTGTAAGCTAAAAGAAGTAATGGGACATCACATTGTACCTTACATATGGAATGCGCCTTAGTCAAATACCACCTCAGCCTATTCTGCATCATGAGTGTATGGCACTATGGCAAAGTGGGTCGGAGTTCTTTCGCTCCTGCCTGAAGCTGTTATCTGCTCCAAGCAGTAAGGTTGATGTAGTGCTCATCTCAATGAGGTGCAGAATTAGCAGGAAACTCTGTTATCATTCTTGAGAGCTGGCTGTGTGAGTTTAAGCCGAACGGTTCAATGGTCTCAAATTCAATGCATGTTCCTGTCAGCACTGCTGCAGTGCAATGCTGTGTTATAGCACATAGACCATTGTCACTCTCTATACTCTATACTCTATACTCTATACTCTATATTTGTCAGCACAGTATTGTGAAGTATACAAATGTGTAACATTGTAACCCTGTGATATTCTGAAGAAGTCTACCATTAGTATTGCAGAGGTTTGAAAACAGACATTGCATGCCACGTGCTATATAGTGTATGGCTGGTGCTGTCCTGTCTTTAGATAGTGGTTCAGTGCTCAGGTTAAGCCTTTCAGCACTGCTCAAGTCCATTGCTCTGTTCTGAGTCTCTGAATGCACACCAGGGACACAGCAATCGCCCCAGGCATCTGACCTTGACACTTATGTGCTGAATATGTCTCTATCTTTCTGCAGTATATGAATCGTTCAATAATTTTCAGCCTTATTTCTCCATATTATTGTATTCTGAAGTGGATCAGTTTTTTTTTCTCTCCAAGAAACCATAATTTTGACCAAACCGATTCAAGTAGATCCAAAATATTTATCGTAAGAACTAAAACACAGTACAAATCTTTAAAGGGGTCCTATTATGCTCTTTTACAAAGTCTTGATTTTGTTTTGGGGGTGTTCTAGAACAGGCTCTCATACTAGGTTGTTTGAAAAACACATTATTTTTCACATATTTTACATTATTACAACACCTCTCTTCCCAGTCTGGCATGAACGGCTCGAATAGTCAAATGAAGGCCCGCCTTCTGAAATACGAAATGTGCTGTGATTGGTTAGCTGGGCCAGTGTGTGTTGTGATTGGCAGCATTCGGTGCCTGGTCGGGAAATGTTACGCCCCTTACCATAGCCGCCTGCGAGCTTAAGTGTAAATATTGCGTCAATAACAAATCATTTTGAGTGCGATTTAAACCCGGATGATTGTAACCACTCTAAGTTTGTCTGCCTCGGGAAAGCTAGCGTGTCTCTGACATAGTGATAACACTCGTTGCCTTCTCTAGTGCAACTCAACCTGGTCTCGTCCCATTCGTCGTTATTTGTGATATCACAAATCCCGGAAAATATGCATTGTAGTCCAAACGAGTCGTTCGTTGTAGTTTTTGAAAAATGATTTCTGTTAAATAAAATATCTCCTTTTGAAGTGGACTTTGAGCTTTGTAACTTTGCAGATCTTTTTTATGCTCAAACAACAACATTACAGACTAACTAAAGTTGAAAAAGTGAAAAAGCATAATAGGATCCCTTTAAATAATCAAGGCATTTCTTCCACACATAACATGTTTTGAGAATAATTTACTTGTATATACACCAATGTAGTAAATACATTAGTAAATAAATATTGCTGTTTATACCTAAAACATTTTTAATACATAAAAAACATTGCAAAGACCTCTGGGAATGTATTTTCAGTGACAACACAAATGATTAATTGAATCAAAGTTTTGCTTTGATGAATTGCAACAGACAGTTTGAACTAATGTAAATGAATTGAATTTACCAAGCTGAATCAAAGATGCTCTGAAAATAGATGTTTAAGCTCTTATACTTGAAGTGCATTAAAGGGGTCATTGGCTGCTACATGCACTTTTACAAGTAGTTTGAACTGAAATGTGTGTTGGCAGTGTGTGTACACAACCACCCTAAAATGATAAAAATCCACCCAGTGTTTTTTCTTTTTTAAATCTGCTCAAATCTTTACCCCTTTCTCAAATTGAGCCGATCTCAGATATGTGTGACGTCACACAGACATGCCCCTCCCACGATAGTTTGATTGACTTCACTATAGCAGGCGTCTTGACTCTTACCTCAGACCCGCCCTGAGTGAGCTGTCATCAGTCCGCCATTGTTTCACCGCCGGAGCAGTTGTAGACATGAATGACTCCTAAGCGATTGAGGTGTTTTGTTGTTGGATGTAATAATGAACCTTGCAGTCGTCATTTACTCCCGACATCTGAGCCGCTGAATACGCAGTGGATTACATTTGTTTTTGAAGGGAATGCACCCCCGATCTACATAAATGTGTCTATGTTCGCTCGAATCATTCGTGATCCAGCTTCACCTACAGAATA